GCATGCAGACACATACATGTGCACACTCACACACGTGCCCGTAGGTACATGTACACACGTGCAAGCATGCATGCAGACACATACATGTGTGCACTCACACACGTGCCCGTGGGTTTATGTACACACGTGCAAGCATGCATGCAGGCACATACATGTGCATGCCTACACACACGTGCGTGCCGGCATGCACACATATGGTGTGACACATACACAAGCAGGGATGGCTCCGGATTGCAGGGCCCAGCCTCCCTCCCCCGCGGCCGTAGGGTTTCCTGGTAATTTCATATTGTGTTTGTGTTTGCTTTCTGCTGATGTTTTAGGTGAGGTCTGCCACAAATCCTACACGCAGTTCTCCAACCTGTGCCGGCACAAGAGGATGCACGCCGACTGCCGCACGCAGATCAAGTGCAAGGACTGCGGGCAGATGTTCAGCACTACCTCCTCCCTCAACAAGCACCGACGTTTCTGTGAGGGCAAGAACCATTACACGCCGGGCGGCATCTTCGCCCCGGGCCTGCCCTTGACCCCCAGCCCCATGATGGACAAGGCGAAGCCCCCCCCCAACCTCAACCACGCCAGCCTGGGCTTCAACGAGTACTTCCCGTCCAGGCCGCACCCGGGCAGCCTGCCCTTCTCGGCAGCGCCCCCCGCCTTCCCCGCACTCACTCCGGGCTTCCCGGGCCTCTTCCCTCCATCCCTGTACCCCCGGCCACCTTTGCTACCTCCCACGCCGCTGCTCAAGAGCCCCCTGAACCACACCCAGGACGCCAAGCTCCCCAGCCCCCTGGGGAACCCGGCGCTGCCCCTCGTCTCTGCCGTGGGCAACAGTGGCCAGGGTGCCACAGCCGCCACGGGGCCTGAGGACACGTTCGAGCGTCGCCTGGGGGACTCCTACGCCGAGAAGCTCAAGACGAGGGGCAGCGACATGTCGGACGGCAGTGACTTCGAGGACGTCAACACCACGACGGGGACCGACCTGGACACGACCACAGGCTCGGGCTCGGACCTGGACAGCGACGCGGACAGCGACCGGGACAAGGCCAAGGACAAGAGCAAGGCAGCGGAGGGCAAGCCCGAGTGTGGGGGCAGCAGCGCGGCGCCCCCGGGGGCCCCGGACGGCGCGGGCGAGGTGCCAGTCTTCTTCCCGCCACACGCCTTCTTCCCGCCGCCCGACGAGCAGCTGCTGACGGCCCCGGGCGCCGCGGGCGACTCCATCAAGGCCATCGCCTCCATCGCCGAGAAGTACTTCGGCCCCGGCCTCGTGGGCATGCAGGAGAAGAAGCTGGGCTCGCTGCCCTACCACTCCGTCTTCCCCTTCCAGTTCCTGCCCAACTTCCCCCCGGCCCTCTGCCCCTTCGCGGACCGCTCCCTCGCCCACAATTTGCTGGTCAAGGCCGAGCCAAGGTCCCCCCGGGACGCCCTCAAGGGGGGCGGCCCCAGCGCCGAGTCCCCCTTCGACCTCACCACCAAACCAAAAGAGGCCAAGCCTGTGCTGCCCATGCCCAAGGCACCCCCGGCCCCGGCGTCCGGTGAGGAGCAGCCGCTGGACCTGAGCATCGGCAGCCGCATCCGAGCCAGCCAGAACGGAGGGGGGCGGGAGCCCCGCAAGAACCACATCTACGGGGAGCGCAAGCTGGGGGCCGGGGAGGGGCTGCCCAAGGCATGTCCGGCGCAGCTGCCCCAGCAGCCGGCCCTGCACTACGCCAAGCCTTCACCCTTCTTCATGGACCCCATCTACAGGTATTAACACGCCCCACCTTCACCTGCTCTCCCAAAGGGGCCTCGACCCGGCTGGGCAGCAGGGCTGACAGCCGCTGGGACCCCCAGCCTCCCCTCAGACCCCATGCGGGCCCCCCACTGTCTCCAGCCGTCTTCTCTGGACCAAACTCTGCGTCCTGCAAAACTGTCCTCCAGTCCCAGCACCTGCACTTCCCCGAGGCCGCCCTGGTGGCCCCCACCTCCCCCTGGAGCCACAGCGGGGGCTTCTGGTGGCCCAGGGAAGAGCAGAGAAGGAGCCGCTGGTCTCGGGAGTGGGGGGAGGTTAGGGGGAGGAGGAGGAGGAAGCTCCAGAGGGTTTGCAAACAATCAGCACCCACCCCTCTGATAGCCCTCCTGGGAGGGGGGGCAAAATTTAATCCCCCTCCCCAGTCTCTGGGCTTTGAATCGGGTGGGTTTATTAGGTGGGAGGGATCCGAGCCCCCTCACGCGCATCCTGCGGGTTCTGGGCCGGCTGGGCCGGCTGAGCCTTGAGGACAGAGGGCTGTGCTCATGGTGGGCCTTGGGAGGGAGGCCTGGAGGTGCAGGGGCCGTGCCCGGGGCACGGCTGCAGGGCTCAGGCCATGCCCGTGTGGGACAGAGGCCCGCGTGCAGACACACGCGCGTGTGCACCCAGTGTCCAGGGAGCACGGGAGCATGCGGCCTGCGTTCCCCAAGGGGCCAGCTGCAGCCAGGTGGCGGGTGTGCGGGTGAGGAGCCCAGGTCCGCTGAAGGTGCACGTGGGACAGAATGATAGCAGCAAGACAGCGGCCCGGCGGGGGGAGGCCAGGCCAGTCGCAGGTCCTACCCTCTGCACTCAGCCCCCGTGGCCCTGGCCGCCTGTGTCCGCAGCCGGTCCTGTTTCCCGCCAGGGCCTGACGTCATCATCAGGGGAGATGGGGAACATGGCCTTCTAGGTGTTTCTTTCAGAACACGCCATCCATAGACGGTTTGAGGGAGTTGAGCAGAGGTTCGAGGAGGAGCCATGACTTTCACCTGCCAAAGGCGCTCCTTAGCTTTCTGGGGCAAACGTGGCAGTCAAAAGGCCTAGAGAGTGCCTGACCATTAAATGAGACTCTCCAGGGCCCCAGGCGAGGCCCAGAGTGCCCCACGGGACACGCAGCCCTTGTGCAGACGACGGGACAGTGACCGGAGGCCAAGACACAGGACCTTCCGCTCAGGCTGCAGAGCTGTACGCAGCAGGCTCTCAGTTAACTTCCTGCCGCTCTGTCCCTGACCTCCCTGCCCTCTCCCCAGGCCCTCACTCTGCCCCTCTGCCCCCTCTCATCTGGTTCAGAGCCAGGAGCCTTTTTCTGGAAGCTGGAAGAACAGATGGTGGGGCCAAGAAGGGCACGTCCTCTCAGGGGTCTTCTGAGATCCAGAGTGTCCCCAGCTCTGGCCACTGGATCTAGGGTCCATGGGCTGAGGGAGGGGATGCCTGGGCCCCCACTTTGCCCATAGACACCAGCAAGATGTTCGAGTGCACTATCTCCCTGCACCCCCAAGCCCATCAAGATAAACAAGCAAAGCTGTGAGTGACCACAACTGCTCGAAAACAGGCTGGGCCCTGGGGCTAGGGGTCAGGGCCCTCCTCCGCTCCTGGGTGACTCCAGGAAAACCCCGCACCATCCCCACAGGCCAGCCCCTGGATCCTGTTCCCCCTTCACACACATAACCCACCATTCTCCATCCCCCGGGTTCAAGGAACCCTAACGCCACCAGGCTGGCCACCCTGGCCTGCAGGATCAGCTGGGCCACTGCACACATGCCCACCAGTGGTCCGCTGGGGTCAGCTGGCCTTGGTTGCTCAGGGGCCAAGCTGACACAGACCCCACACACCCCTCCTGTGGGGGTCCCCCCGCTATAGGCTCGTCTTGCTGAAAGGCCAAGTCCCACACAGCCCAGCTTTGAACGGGGCCCTGGGGAGGCCCTTCAGAGCAAGATGCCCTCCAAGCCAACTCCCCACACAATCAACACTGCCTCTCCAAGAGGGGACCCTTCGCACCTTCCCCCTCATCCCCTCCCTCCTGGGCCAGGCTGGGGGTCCGGTGGGGTTCCCAGGCCCCGCGGCGATGCTCTCCTCTCCTTGCGCCGTCCCCCCCAATCCTGCCCTGGTCGCTGTCCCAGCCAAGCCCTGGTGGGCAGCTGTGCGTTAGAGTGAGGCCCTCGCGTGGACCAAACGGGAGCGGCTGGTGCAGGGTGTGCTCAGAGGGGACGCGTCTGCGTGCGGAGAAGCGGCGGGTTTCCCCAGACAGCGCTTTGGGAACCTCTGCGGCCACAAGGAGACTGAGGCTGGCGTTGCTGGGAGACGGAGGGCGGAGGGATCTCAGGACCGGCCCCGGCCACTTTCTCCACTTGCTCTGTGAGGAACAGAGTTGTCAGCAGCATTTGGAAAATATTCTAGAATTGTCCTCTCCAGCAGCCATTGCGAGTGTTTAGGTAGACCCTACCTGGCAGCCATAGGGAGGCCCCGGGGACCCCCCGGAATGACAGCTGGGGTGGTTGGGAGAGTCTGGGGAGCACCTGGAGGATGTGGAGTGAGCGTTCAGGCAGGTGGCAGGGGGCGTGGAGGTGAGCTCCGTCACAACACCCCCCCCCCACTGTCAGGTGAAACATAGTAATCGGGGGCCAGAAGCAGGGGTCCCCGCCTCGTGACTGGGGGGGCACAGGTGGGCACGGTCCCTGAGCAGCCCCGGGCAGCTCGGTGAGGTACGTAACCCTCTGTGTTGTTGTCCAGCAGGGTAGAGAAGCGGAAGGTGACAGACCCCGTGGGAGTCCTGAAGGAGAAGTACCTGCGGCCGTCCCCGCTGCTCTTCCACCCCCAGGTAAGACCCATGGGGGGCCAAGCCACCTGGGAGGGCATGCCTTGGGACTCCCATTCTGGGACCCTCTAGCCAGGCTGCCCAGGCGGGCAGGTCTGTGCAGGGGGCAGGCCCTGAGCGTCCATCCAGGAGGGCCTCAGCTTCCCTGCCCATCAGATGCCCAGGGGGCTTCTCTCCCTGGAGCCCTATGGGTCACTGCGAGGCCGAAGAGGGTGAGAAGGGCCAGGACGTGTGAGGAAGGAGGGTAGTGCTCTGTGGGTCCCTCGGAGGTGGCCAAAGACCCCAGACCATGGGAGGGCTCACCAGCCCATGGCTCAGGCTCTCGGAGGGGCAGTGAGCATCAACAAGGCGGTGGGCCAAAGCTCGGATGCAGGGAGTCCAAGAATTTGGAAAGTAGGGGCCAGATGCGGGAGGCATGGGTGTGAGCAGGATACCTACGTACGACCAGGAGGTGGGGGTCTGAGCAGGGGGGCATGAGGGGCACAGGGGATGGGGAACAAGACAGAAGCAGACGGACTGGCCCCAAGGACAGAGGGTCCCAGGAGGTGGTGGGCAGGAGGGGCTCCCTCCCCCACGACTGCAGGGGTGGGGGGTCAGGGCTGTCCGCCAAGACTAAGGTTGGGGGTCTGAGAAAGAGAACCCCCAAGTCTGGGCAGTGGCCACACACCCCGTCTGCAGGCACCCCATCCACCGCCCGGCCTTGTCCCCCCAAGGGCATAGGCACAGAGATGTCACAGACGTGGGGATGAGCAGCAGCGCTGGGCAGAGGCTCCCCAACTCCTGCCCGAGGGCCCACTTGTGCTCCCTCCTTGGGGCCCAGCCTCCTCCCCTGAGCCACAGCCTCCCCCACCCCACTTGGGGGTTCTGGGAGCTGAACTGTGGGATGGCCTGAACCAGACTCCAGACTGGGGCATTGTTCTGTTTCTCGGTGTTTCCCACCTTGGACACACACCCCCAGTTTGTGAAACCTGCCCCCTGCCTGGGTTCACAGCTAAACTTAGCGCCTCCCATTGTTTCGCTGGGGCCATGGGCTTAGCTTAATAACTTCCCCCGATTTTCCTCGGGTCGGGCTGGAAAAAGCCGACAAGCCTGCCAGGCGCATCCTGTGTTTGTGTTTGTGCGGGAGCTCGGCCGGGAACATCTGATCAGGCGGAGCAGGCCGGGCAGGCCAGACCTGCAGACCGGCCTCAGGGAGACCCGCCCAGGCCTGAGGAGAGGAGGCCTGGCAGGGGGCCGGCGGCCCATTGTCCCTCCTGCCTGCTCCCCCCTTGAGCCCTGCCACCCCCATGCCTGCCCATAGGCCAGAGCGCGGGGCAGGGGGAGGGGAGGAGGACTAGGAGGTCACCTAATGAAGTGGTCTGAGGTCAGGCCACCACTTAGGCGCGATGACTGATGGCCTCTACAAAGTACGGGGTCACTCCTAGTGAGGACATCAGCCTGCGGTGGTCAGGTGCCAGGCGGGACTTTGCCGGGGCCTTTGGTTTGGGAGGCCTGACACGCGTGTGCGCAGCCCTGGGGTGCAGGGCGGCCTCAGCCCCTCACCACCTCTGGAGCTCCAGGGAGTCTCTGTGTGGAGAGTTCCAGAAACTTTCAAGGCTGCCGCTAAAACTGAGGCGCAGAGCCAGGTGGGCAGCAGTCTTTGCACCTGGGTCCCCATCGTCCCGGCCATGGAGGGGCCGCAGCCGAGGGGCGAGGCAGCTCCCATTTGCCCGTCAGCGGGGACAGGGCAGGCAACGCACGCGGGCAGCATCGTGCCTCTGAGGACCGCACAGGCATTCCCGGGGGGATGGAGAGCTGAACAGCAACCCCCTGTCCTGTCCTGTCTCCAAACCCAAGCCCTCGGGGACAGGCGCCATCTGGGGCTCCGATCACAACTCTGCCCACTGCGTGGAAATGGCCGTGCCGCACTCCCAAATCCTCCCCAAGCAAGCCCCTGGTACCTCAAGGCCTGGAGAGGTGCGTCCTCTGGTCCACGTCACCATTTCCCGTGCTGCATCACGTGGGCTTCGTCCTCTGGAGGTTCCGTTAGCAGCATCTGGCACTAGGCTGTTGGACTCCCGGAGAACTTGGCCTGCAATCATGACCCGTTGCCACCAGACGGCACTGCCCAGACCCGTGGCCGCTTTTAACTGGGAGGCAGGGAGCTGTCTTATTTCGAGAGAGGGAGAAAGACAGACAGAGAGACAGACAGACAGAGGAGAAGAGGAGAGCGGGATGTGATTCTGTCTTTAAACGGAGCCAGCCCTCCCAGGGTGCTGGCCAGGGTCAGGCCAGCAGGGCGGTGCTGGGGGGTTCCCAGATCAGGGGACGTGTCACCGTGAGCCCGGAGCCTGCCTCCCACCCCACCTGCCCCCCGACAGGCAGAGAGGCAGGCTGGCGAAGGTTGGCTCCGGCTCCCCCAGCCTGGGCCCTGGGCTGACACGGGGATTCCGGGGAGCAGGGCCCGCAGAATGTGTGAGTATCCACCGGGTGGCCGAGAAGCCCGGGAGATGGCTGGTTGCACCCACAGCCTGAGGCCTGCACGAGCTTCTGCTCCTGGCCCAGCGGGGGACGTGCCCGGTCCCGGGGGACCCTCGGGTGCCCGGGGAGGATGAGGCCAGCCTCCTCAGGGGAGCCCACCATCTCGCCCACTGTCCTGCCGGCAGATGTCAGCCATCGAGACCATGACGGACAAGCTGGAGAGCTTCGCGGCCATGAAGGCAGACTCGGGCAGCTCCCTGCAGCCCCTCCCCCACCACCCCTTCAACTTCCGGTCCCCGCCCCCCACGCTCTCGGACCCCATCCTCAGGAAGGGCAAGGAGCGCTACACTTGCAGGTGAGGCGGGGCCTGCAGGGGGTGCTGGTGGGGTGGTCCTGGCCAGGGGGCCACAGGTGCCACGCTGTGGCTGTGAGCCTGGGCTTCCTGGACAAACCATCCAGACACAGCACAGTGTAGAGGCAGTCAGTGGTCCGTTCACGGGTGGCGGTCATTCGCTGCCCCTGTGTGTCGGTGGGGGGGCGCGCTGGACGTCCCCCGCGCCAGCAGGCTGTGTTTCCGTGAGCACAAGGAAACGCAGCCTTAGCCTAGCCGGTCAGAACCCAGAGGGTCCAAAGTCGAGGGGGGCTGGTCGGCATTTAACCGAGACCCTCGGAGTCAGGTGCAAAGCCCGGTGTTGGGGAGAGACACGCGCCGTGTCTGTCCCCAGCCCGTGAGCCTGTCCTAGCTGGTGCGAGCAGCTCGGCCGCCCTCAGGCTGCTCGGGGAAGGGCACAGCCGAAGCAAGCCACAGTCGGCCGAGCCCACCTGCCCCCCAGGTGTGGGGCTCGGGCCTAGACCCCGAGGTGGAGGAACCACGCCAGGAAAGCATGTGGGCACCTGAGCCTACAGGGGGCGACTGCCTCACGGTCCCCCTGCCCCTCCACCCCAGGTACTGTGGCAAGATCTTCCCCCGATCAGCAAACCTCACGAGACACCTGAGGACGCACACCGGGGAGCAGCCGTACAGGTAGGAGCCCACCCCATTTGGGGGGGGGGAGGCTTCGGTGAGATGGGAAGGGTGGGGGTGGGAGCCAGCATCCTTGTGTCAGGTGGCTCCCTGGGACCCCCTCCTGACCCCACAGCCATCCTGGGCCCTGGGGGTCATAAAGATTCGGCAGGAGGTGCCCAAGTGGGCTTCCTGAAGACTCCGAGTGCGGTGCCTGGGTGCCGCTCTCCCACCGGCCGTTCTTGCCTGGGGCAGGGCGTTGAGAGCCACGCTGGCCAAAGTCAGGGCCCCGGGGGTCTGTTGGAGAAGTCTCGCTCCACCCCCTCCCAGCTCAACTCCCAGAGAGCGGCTGGTGGGCCAGGGTGGGTGCCTGAGGCAGGGCAGGCGGTGGAAAAGGAGCTCCGTGCAAATTCGGGTCCCAGCCTGGGCTTGGAGTGTCCTAAGGGATTCGCTTGCCAGCCCTGGATGGAAGCCATGTGTCTCCTCTCCTCCTGTCCCCTCAGTGCTGGGCTTCTGCCTGTAGAGATGTAGCCACACAGCAAGTCCGTGTGGGAGCCATCACCTTTCCTGTTCACAAGTGGGGGCATCATCCCCGTTTCAAAGATGCAGAGTCAGAGGCTTAGACCCCATGACTTGCCCAGGGTCAGCGTCCGCGGCTGCTCCAGCAGACCGTTCTGCCCCTGGGAGAGGCAGATCCTGCTCCTTGGTCCCTGGGGCCTTTGTCGGGCAGGAGAAGGGCTGGGGTGACATCCCCGGTTCGGGGACCCCACCCAAGGAGGGGCCTGAGAGTTGGCATTTTAAATGAGAGACCCAGGTGGTGGTGACCACGAGGCAAATCAGGGAAAACGCTGGTTTAGACGCCAAGACCTCATTCCGGGGTGTGTCTGGTGAACGGCAGCCGCTGGGAATAAGGAGTTTGGCATGGCTTTAAGTTGGCAGCATGAGATTCCTACGCTCTGGCCATACAGAGCTCAGAGTCCCCCGGTGGCTCCAGAGACTCGGTGGGCTTCCCCGTCCCTGGGAAGGGCAGCCACGTGGGGTGCCCGCCAGAGTTGTGGTCCCCGTGCCCCACCCTGAGGTGTAACAGGCATCGACCGCCACCGGGCCGCATCCTGGGCAGATGAATGACAGCACATCTACTGAGCTGGGTACCCCCCGCCTGTCCCCGACACACAGGCCCCCACCCCCCGCCCCCCAGAAGTGGCTTACGGTTCCACAAAGGCTCACAAAGGAAGGAATGACTTGGTCTGGCTTCCTCCCTGAAATGAGAGCCGCCTTCTGGACAGTGTTGCTCGTAGGAGCCCCCAGAGGGTCGGGCTGTGTTTACAGAGGAATTTAATTACCATTGATTTCTTTTGCTCTCTCCAATCTGCGAGTTTCGACTTGTGTAACAATAATTGCTTTGAAAGTTTGCATTGCAAATCCTGACTTCATCTGGCTCAAGGCAGCCCTGAGATGGGGAGTGTGATGCGTGTGACTCCTTTTGCCATCACGGGCAGGGGGTGTCTGGGCTCACCTGGGTCACTGGAAGAATTTAAATTGGAAGAGGAAAGTCCATCCATCCGTCCGTCCATCCACAGAAACCTACCGTCCAGGGGATAGGCCCCACCAAAGGAGAAGGACCCCCACCCCCAGCGAGGCCGATTCAACGCGCCTGTTGCCTGCCCCCGTAAGCTGAGCTCGGCTCGGGGCCGGCCCCACGTGTGCAGTGCTGCGTGCGCGCCTGAGTCCCCTTGCGAGCCAGAGGAGGCCGGGCTTGTCCCAGGCTGCAGAGTGACAGACAGACTAGACAACGCGGGACACTCTTCCTTTTCTGTCTCTGCCTGAGATTACCTAAAATCGCTCAGAATGGGTTCCAAAGCCCTGACTCCAGGAAAGAAAGACCCTTTCGTGTGACCGACGGTGTGTTTCCTGGAGGGAAGGTCAACCCTCCTGCTGGGCCGGGTGTCCTCAGCTAATGTCTTCTCCAGGCTTAGAGAGCTTGGCCTCAGGCTGGGAGACAAGGTGCAGTTAAACACACTCTCATTCCCTAAAGCTGTGGCCGGTAGGGCTTGTTACAACTGGGGCTAGACAGACAGAAAGCTGGACTCAGGAAGGAGGGGCTGCTTCTTGCCTCCTTCCTGGCGGCCACGCCTGGGGTCCCTCGGGACGCTGCCCGGAGGGGCCGTGGTCATGCCCCGGGCACGCACCTTCGAGGGCTGGCCTGCGTGCTCCTGGCGGGGTGTGAGGTTCTGGCTTTGGGGACACACGACTCTCCATCTTCAGCTCGTTCCCTCCCCGTGAGCGAGGCCCTCTTCCTATTGCCTCAGGTGGCCCAAACCTGTCCCCTTGCTTTTCTAGTTCTGTTTTTCAGGGCTGGATTTCAGAACTCTCCTCTTGCCTTCCCTTCCCCTGCATTGACAGTTACCAGGAGCGTTTCTCCCTGGGACAGCTGGTGTGGCCCGGCTGGGTCCCGGGGAGGACACTGCGCCCTCCCCCACCCCGTGCTGGGCCTCCCACTGGCTGGCTTCCCTGGGGGGGAGAGGGCGCTGCAGTCACTGCAAGGTCCTCTCAAGGCCCTCGGCTGCACGCTGCTGGGGCCGGCCGGTCATTCCTTGCTGCAGAGAGTGCAACGCCGTGCCGTTTTACGCAGCGAGGCCATAAATGTCACTAGCCACTTGTCAGCATAGTTACAACATGAATGCCAACTGCTCCGAGACCTCTGGCCCCCCCAAAGCCCAGGGCTCACTGCTCCCCTAAATCTCAAATGGGCTTCTCGGTCTGGGCCATTTATCCAGATTAAAACCAGGAGAGGGCCACACTCACTCAGGTCTCTCTGTGAGCAAATCGAGCGTGCAGCTCCCCTCTGCCCCCTCTCCAGCCCCATGGAGGTTGGAAAGAGAACTGCATTTCTGGTGGCAAGAAACAATCCTGTCCAACCCCGTCTTCTACTCATAACTGCCACCGCTCGGAGTCTATGTGGCAGTGTTAGGTGGAGCCTGTCAAAGGGTCCCTGACTTTCCAAGGAAACACGGCAAGGGATGCTGTGCGAGGGTGTGTGTGAGCCCACGTGCGGACAGGCCCCGGGGAGTCCCGTCGTCTGGGTGAGGGGGCGAGCACCCAGACCAGCTTGGCCTTGCACTTGGTCCTTCCTGAGCGATTGCTGTGAGGAGCAGGACGGTCGTCTGGGAGCCTGGCACCATGGGGGGCAAGGATTCGTCTGTGACGGAATGAGACGGTGCATCCTGGGACGTAAAAACCCTCCTTTCTGGACCCTTGTGTGGGGGAGCACCAGGTCACCGGGTAGCCAAGCACAGCTGACCCCGCCGTGCGGAGGGCTCAGGCCTCCGTCCCCGAGCACGCCGAGACAAACAGCCAAGGGCACCTGTGTAGGCCTTCCAGGACAGCGGGTCCTCGTCGGGGCCTGTGAACGGCAGGAGACGTGGGAAGAGAGGCCGTGACCAAAGCGCCAGGCCCCAGGGGCCTGGAAGCAGCTTAGCCGGCCCCACGAGGAGTGGGGCCGAGCACAGGTGGACCCAGGCCCACCGGCAGAGAAGGCAGAGGGTCGCTCAGAGGAGACCAGGGACGGTGGCCCAAGCCGTTCGGGAGAAGATCTCAGACGGCTCTTTGCCCACCGACCGTGGAGGAAGCCAGAGTCAGCGAGGCCTCGGCCGAGAAGCTCCAGAAACTGAATGAGAAAAGCTCTAGAATCGTACCGTGGGAAACCCGGAAGCCCCTGTAGCTGCAGCCCTCCCTGTTCTCTGTGGGCCCATCATCAGGCCCCCGGGTGGAATGAGGCAGGACGCGGGCTTCCCCGGACAGGTTCACAAAGCTGCCCTTCAGGGCAGAGAAACCTCAGCTCCTGGCACAGCGCTAACAGCCCCGGAGGCTCAGAGGCTGGTGGGAGCCTAATGCTTCCTGCCTCGGGGGCCCCCAGGGTGCTCTGTGACCGCCCAGACTGGCCGCGCAGCTGTCACAGGGCAGGAGCGAAGGCCCGCCTCACACAGCCCTGCTGGCCCAGCCCCGCACCGTCCTCAGGCGCAGCTCCAGACCCAGTGCCTGCATCCTGTGCTGGAGCGATCGGGGTCGGGGGGGACCCTCCTGCGGGAATGCCCGGCCGCCAGACTCAGGACGGGTCCCTGGCACCTTCCAAGCTGCACCCCTCTGGAAGAGCATGCACCCCCACGCGTGCGCCCTTCGGGGGCCTGCTGCGTAGACCGGCTCCTGAGGGAGACTCAGCGGGCCAGGACTCCGCCCGCCTGCCCCCGTCCCGTCGCAGGAGCTGTTTGCTTCCAAACATGGAAAATAAATGAGCACGCGGACGGTGTTTCCTGGGCTCCTGTGCCTCTGACGCCCAGCGGAGCAGCCCCGAGGGGTGCTGGAGCCCAGACGCACACGCACAACACGTGTGTGCACGCGTGCTCATCAGCACACGCGTGTGTGCTCCTGGACACAGCTGAGGCCCGCGCTCAGAGCCGCGGGAGCCGCTCCAGGAAGCCATATGGCCTGGGCTTGGACTTCTGCCACCAGGAGGGGCCGGCGCCCGGCAAGGCCGCTCAGGGGTCTACAGACTTGTGCAGGCGGCTCCCTGGGCCACCCGTCTCTCCAGCTCCAGGCTCGTGCATGCTCTCCACTCCTGGCTACTTGGTGTGGGTATTTCTCCGAACTGGGAGGATAACCCTCCCTTTCCTGCCCTCGGGGCTGTGAGCAGGGTCGAGGAGGCTGCACCCCCACAAGGCCCCACACCCAACGGGGCACCGCTCCCGTCACAGATGTTCAGGTGGACACAACTGAAGTGTCTGGAGGAAGAGCTTCTTGTTCGGATTTTCCCAAGCGCACGGCCGGGCTGGCGGTCACCTTCTGCACAGGAGCATAGAAATCAAGGGATCACGGGGGGTCGGCAGTGCCCTCGCCCGAAGGCTGTGGTCATGTGTGGTCCCTAGAACAGCGGTGGCCTGACAGGCAGCGAGACCGGGGAGCCCCTGCCTCACCTTCCGGGAAGTTACAGATGCTGAAGAGGGCCTGGGGCAGGCCCCGAGCCCCCCCACTCATGAATTGGCAAGCTGAGGCCCGAGGACCCACTGAAAGGCGGCCAGGTCCAGGCCAGCTGCCTGCATGCAGGGTGGGGGTCTCTCGGCCAGGGAGCGGGTCTCCTTCTTCGGGGAAACCGCGGGAGGGTCTTTCCACGGTGCACGGCCGCCCCCTTGAGGCCACTGGGAGCATGCGCCCTCGGGCAGAGCCTCCGAGCAGGACCCTGAGGCGGAGGCGGCAGACTCGGCGCTGCTCGCCCAGGGGCAGGGGCCCAGAGGGTCCCCTGCAGCAGCCCGCGGCACGTCCCAACTCCGCCCGCCTCCCTCGTGTCAGTAGGCAGAGGACAGCCTCTTCCTCGGGCCGCGGGCCTTGTAGCACAGCCTGCCCACCCTGCAACAGCGCCCCGGGGAACGGGGGGCACCGGGGTCTCTGCGGGGGGGGGGGGGGGCTGAGGCCGCGCCCGGGGCGGGGTCCAGGCCCCTCTGAGACGCGTGTGTCTTGCAGGTGTAAGTACTGCGACCGCTCCTTCAGCATCTCCTCCAACCTCCAGCGGCACGTACGGAACATCCACAACAAGGAGAAGCCCTTCAGGTGCCACCTGTGTAACCGCTGCTTCGGGCAGCAGACCAACCTGGACCGGCACCTCAAGAAGCACGAGCACGAGCACGCTCCAGGTGCGGCCACGGCCGGGGCTGCGCTGAGTGCGAGAGCGTGGGGGGGAGGGTTCGAAAGATGGGAGCCACAGGAAGAGATGGCAGGTGGAAGG